TCTCTGGAGATATTTTGAGGTGCAACTTCAGTTTCTGTGCAACTTCAGTTTTCATTTAGTAAGAATCCGTAAGTGGCATCTGATTCCATCTCAAAAATACTGGAATGAACAGAGTGTAAAAGTAACTTTAACAACTGGCCTCTCCCACCCACCATACCCATCTCTTGACTTAACTATGGCACATGGCTAGTAAATACAAAAAGATAAAAATCATCCTCTGTTAGACTGTGTCCACTGTTTCAATGACATCCAACACTGTCAACACAGCCATACTTTTTCAAACCTAACTACAGTGGTGCCCCGCATACTGAGGTTAATCCGTTCCGGATTAACTGTCGCTATGGGGAAACATCGCTAAAGGGAACGGAAAATGCCATTGGAACGCATTACACTTAGTTTAATGCGTTCCAGTGGCTTCTGTATTCACCGTTTAGCGAAGTTTCCCCCATCCGGCAGCCATTTTCACGCCCTCGGTAAGCTAGGGCAGGGCGCGAAAATGCTGCATGTGGCCATTTTGGGTCACGCGGCAGCCATTTTGGAGCTGCCAATCAGCTGATTTCCTGACATCGCAATGCGAAGATCAGTAAGCGAAACGCCTACTGATCTTCACAATGCGAGTTTTGCCCATTGGGGCTGCCGGTATGCCTTCGCATTAGCGATCCCAAAAAAGGGATTGCTATGCGAATTCGTCATTGTACGGTGCGCTCGTTATGTGAGGCACCACTGTAGTTAAGACATAATTCATACAACTGGCAAGTGGATCAATGGCTTCTCAAACATAAACTGTAGAAAGGGAGCAAGAGCCAGATCCTTTTAACTTTTGTTACATCTCCAATTCAGATGGGGATCCATTTAGAGCAAAATGCTGGAAGGACAGGTTCTCTTGTCTCAGCAAAAGCAAGATGTATAAATCCTTTGATCTGGATTGGGACAATGCGGAGTGAGTGGATTAAAAAAAACTTCATTCTCCCCACAACATGCATTTGCTCTAGATAAAGTGCCCTCCAATACCAATCTAACTTCTTGAACCCATTTATTCAAATGTTAATTGAATTAATGGTATTCTATCTACTTTGCCATGAACTTGGTAGCCAACAATAGGTACTTTTTCTGCAGATAGACATTTTTAAGTAAGACCAAGTAAATCAAGACAAGAGATTTTGGATGGGAAGAAATCAGATGAGGGGATACCAGCAAACTGAAGTTAGTCAGCATGAATATTTGGACAAGTCACTTTATTATTGATCTCTCACTGCACCCTTATCTAAAAATGCTGGAATGCGACTCCATGCAGGTCTCCTCCCCCTCTACACACCTGCAGTGATTGTTATCAGCTCCTTTGGTTCCTATTTATGCTTCTCTGCATAAACAGACAACAAGAAATAGTTACTCACAATACTCACATCTCTTAAAGGAGACCTGTCTCACAATGTGGCAACATTACTATTTTCACAGTTCAAGATCAATCAAGCCTGATGGAACAATTTTTCAAGTAGATGTAATCATCAATTTACATCTGAACACATCTATAGCTCTTATCCTCTGACATCTACATATTTATTTACAAACCACTTCCATGATCGTGAAGGCTAAGTCCACAGAATGATGTGCTCAGTCAAAGAAAGAAAATGAATTTTTTCAATTTACTTGAAGAAAAACACTATAGACCCAGAGAACTGCAAGACAAATCTGGATGCATTTAGGATTATGTCTAGCAGAACTGTCTTTATTAATTTGCTGTACAAAGGAATGCCTGCATAACCGGTATAGTAAAGCAAGCTGTTGAGCACAATACTAAGTCATTAACAAGAAAGAGAATGCGTGTATTTATGGTGCAGCATTTGGTTTGGGAATTCCCAGTGTGGTGTAGTGGATAGAGTTACGGATTAGGACTCTGGAGAATAGGGTTCAAATCCCTGCTCAGCCATGGAAACTGACTGGGGTGGTGGCGAAAATGGCGGAACCATTCCTTAAATATCTCTTACCTTGAAAGCCCTACAGTATTAGGGTTGCTATAACTCGGTTCCAACTTGATGGCACAGACACATCAGGTTTTGGCTTATTTTGAGTTATTTTTTTCTCCACTTTCCCTAGCCTTACCCTGGTAGTTTTCTGTTATGGTGGTCTTTATTTCAGGGAGCATACCTATCTCCATATAGTTTTACTTGGAGACAAAAATGTGGCACTCTCAAAATAAAGTGATTTATTGTGGAGTGAGATTTTGGAACTACAGACCATAATAATCCAGTCGGCACTAAAACAATTTAGGCCACTTCATCCGTCTGTGTTTGGGAGACCAGGGGACAAGGGAAGCGATCCCTGTATTGGCTAACCCGTTTGTAGAATGTCAGAGAGGTCGTATGGTGTGACTCAGCGGGCTGAGAAGTTCTCTGTCTACCTTCTAACATTTCAGATGATTCACATCACCAAGAGATGTCACTGTTCTTGACATTTTATAGATTACTACATGGAGCTGTCATCTCACCGTTTAACTGAGAAGTGGGGAAAAGAAGATTGCCACAGTACACTCCTTTTCTCAAAAAGCAATTATTGTAGTCAGACATGACCCTGAACGGTAGTGAATCGAGCTTCTCAACCAGATACCTAAACCACTGACCTATCCACATTTTTTGTCTTTAACAGTGAAAAGTACACCTCATTGAGGTTCCTATTTTCAACAAATGTACCAACTTGATGAGAACATATTTTTAAATTCTTTGTCAGTGCCACTGGCTATCTATTTGCCTCTGGACACAATTCAAATTGTTTGCCTGGGCTTTTAAAGCCCTAAATAATCAAGAACCAGGTCAGCTAAAGGAAAGCCTACTTCCATAGAAATTTATGTTAGCAATAAAATCAGCTTGAAAATTCTGGCTTTCAGTATCCTAAGACAGCATTCTCCAACCCCCAGTCTGCGGCACTGTGCCGGTCCGTGCCGTGGGCCGGACTGGACCGCCAAGAGAGACCTCCCACTGCCGCCTCCCGTGCGCTCTCACCCCCACGCCACCCGTTTGTGCTTGTACACATGCTCTGGCATGCCCGCATGAGCGCCGTGCTGCCATTTGTACATGCGCATAGGCCTGCGTGGGCCCATATGGGCACTCGCGCGCATATGCAAATGGCGGTGCATGCTCATGTGGGCTCGTGTGCATGCACAAATGGCAGCGTGCAAGTATGGGGGTGCCCCGCCTCCCCCAGCTGGTCAACGGACCGGAAAAGGTTGGGGAATGCTGTCCTAAGACACACACTGAGTGAGCACAGATGTGTCTTTTTCTGATTTAAAGCCAAAACTCCGCTTTAGTTTCCCAATTAAGAAGTACAGATGGGCTTTTGCTGTACAATATCAGGTCATACTCTTGACCAATTTAATCTTTGACATAATCCATAGTCTTTGTTTTATATGTTGTTCTATCATTATTGTTTCCAATCTATGCTGTTAGCTATTCTGAGCACTTTAGAGGAAGAATGGAGAAAAACAATTAACTTACTGTTACTATACTAATTTTGTGGCCATCTCAGATTGTAAACCATTAAAACAAAACAGGAACTACTACCCTGCGTTCATATGAAGAGTCTGATAAGGAGGCTTACCAAATTCATACACCTTCTTACACTTCATTTCCAAGTCTTCAATGAGATCCTGGAGCCGGCATTGTTTAGCCAGTCTTTTGCAATCATTCACATATTCGACATCTATATCTAAACGACCTGGCAAAACAAAACAAAACAAAACCAATAAGCCTTTCAATCGGTTCTTTTAGTTCACCCTTATTTCACCCGATCCACTGAGGTGCAAAATCCATTCTTATCAACCAAAGCTGCAAATATAAGCTCCAGTACCACCCTGTGGCTTTAGATAGTACTGCACTCATATACAGTGAGTGAGTGAGTGAGATTGAGTGAGAGTATGAAGCACAAAGGTTCAACTGATGATCTACTGGCCTTGTGACATCTCTTATACAGCTTTTCAAAAATGTAACCTGAAAGAATTCTGCTTTCACTGTACTAACTTTTGCATCTGTTACCGTTTCCCCGAAAATAAGACTTAACCTGAAAATAAGCCCTAGTATGGTTTTTCGGGATGTTCGTAATATAAGACACACACCCAAAATAAGCCCTAGTTAAGTGAAACCCCGCCCTCCAGCATTGGATGTATCAGAAGATGATGACAAGACTGTAAAATAAAACATCCCCTGAAAACAGGTCCTAATGCGTTTTGGAGCAAAAATTAATATAAGACCCTATCTTATTTTCGGGGAAACACGGTACTGCTGTACTGTCTAATTTTTAAAAAAACCTTTATTGCATGTATTGGCTATTATATAAATATCCTTAAAAATGAAAATATGAAAAAAAATCAAGAAGATTTTTGTGGACAAGTAATATGAAAAATCTATTTTTTCTGAGAAGAGAAAGAGATGAATAAAATATCTTCTAGATATTTAGTCCAAACATACCTTTGGTTTTAAAAAATCTGAATGTATTACCCGCTCTATTAGTACATTAAAGAAAGTGTGAAAATACATTTTACAGAAGCAGAAGAAGGACAATGGCAGGCTAATATGTATTCTACCTGCATAAACTAGCCGGAACTTTCTGACCATGCCCGATGAAGGCTAAGCGACTTTCCCCTTAATACATGTGCATGCTCTCAAACACAGAAAACCTTTTATCCTGGTCTACTTCTCTGCAAGCTTCATTCCCATACTGGTTACATAGATACAAGTCTTATAAAACATATTAGACAAGAAACAAAACAAAAATAAAGAAGACAAAAACGCTGTGGCCCTTTAAAGACTAACTGCTCTATTTTAATGTAAGCTTTTGTGGATCAAGTCTGCTTCCACATGACTATATGGTAAATATTTATAGGTAAAGGTTCCCCTGGACATTTAGTCCAGTCGTGTCCGACTCTAGGGCGCGGTGCTCATCTCTGTTTTCAAGTCGCAGAGCCAGCGTTTTTGTCCGAAGACAGTTTCCGTGGTCACGTGGCCAGCACGACTAGACACGGAACGCTGTTACCTCCCACTGAGGTGGTACCTATTTATCTACTAAAACAAAACAAAAGAACACCCTTTAATTAAAAAATCCTCTCATCCTTGAATGAAGACACAAACTGCAAACATACCAGAAGAGTACCCTGACCAAAAGTGTGCCACTTATCACTAGCAACCTTATGGCCCTTACTATCGTGGCATTCAATGCACCACTTGCAAAATAATTAACAATAGTAGTAATATTTTCAGGCAACAACGTTTTATTACAATATGTGAAAAAAACAGCACTAATTCCACACCAAAATACAGTGGTGCCCCGCATTACAATCGCTTCATTTAACGACAAAACAAAGTGTGCCACTTATCACTAGCAACCTTACGGCCCTTACTATCACGGCATTCGATGCACCACTTACAGAATAATTAACAAAAGTAGTAATATTTTCAGGCAACATTTTATTCCAATATGTGAAAAAACAGCACTAATTCCACACCAATACAGTGGTGCCTCACATTACGATCGCTTCATTTAACGATGAAGCTGCATTACGATGAACTTTTTGCGATCGCTTTTGCGATCACAAAACGATGTCTCCTATGGGGGAATTTCACTTTGCAATGATCGGTTCCCTGCTTCAGGAGCCGATTCTTCGCAAAACGATGATTTCCCAACAGCTGATCGGTGGTTTCAAAATGGCCACCGGGTAAATAAAATGGCTCCCCGCTGTATTTAGACAGGCAGCGAAAATGGCTGCTGTATGGAGGATCTTCGCTACATGGTGAGTTTTAAGGCTATCAGAACGCATTAAACAGGTTTTAATGCGTTTCTATGGGCTTTTAAATTTCACTTTACGATGTTCTCGTTCTACAACAATTTCGCTGGAATGAATTAACATTGTAATGCGAGGCACCACTGTACTACAGTGGGGGAAGCAGCCAGGTCTTCAGAAGGCTTGGTGAGTGAAGGTCTGGTGAAGTTCTGAACAGAGACCAGTGACTAAAACACCAGTGTCTTGGGTGGCTCCACCTCCCACACTTCTAAGCTATTATTACATATCCCATATGATGCTCAATAGCTAATCACTTCAACCCCTTTTGTCCTTGTCCCCACTCCACCCCCCCAAAAAGGAAGCAGCAAATTCTGATGATCTGAATGTTATAAAGATATAGATGTATTCCTGGAACTGAATAATTTATTTCTAACAAGGAGGCAAAGACCAAGTACAGTAGCTACAGTTGTAATACATCACAACACACAACCAGATTTACCTGTATAGAGGTACTGCAGAAGTGAGCCAAAGGCAGCTGGGTTGATCTGTATTAAGGAATGAAAGTGGTTACAGACAGAGGTCTCACAAATGTTGTTTGAAAGAAAAACTGGTATTATTGAGACGTTAAACTGGAAGATACAGCAGGCCTTCTACATGGGTGAGGAATCTGTGGCCATCCAGATGTAGCCACATTCTAATCTGGATCAGAAAATGGCCAGCCTGGCCAACGCCACATGTGGAGGGCCACGGGCTCTTCACCCACAGCCCAGAAGGTTAGCCCTGGAGCACCTCTGCTCTCTGTATCTCCCTTTTCCATAACACTAGCCAACAGCTCACCTCAGCAAGATAAGTTCAGATGTGACAAAAGAAAATGATTTGTGACTCAAAACATACTACAAAATGTGATGATATTATCCAGATTTTGTTCCTGTTTCTTGTGGAAAGTTCAATAGCATCTTTACTAGTTCTGCTAGCGGGAGCTGATTTAGTATTCAGACTGAACTCTCAAGCCAGTGTTGCAGATCAGTGTCCCTGAGGTAGTCTAAGAATAACTGTGTTTTTAAAATGCTAAAGCAGTTCTGATAATTATGCAGGTAATTATAGCCCTGAAATCCATGCAGCAAAATGAGGTGGTAAAATGCAATACTTTTCAGACTACAAACAGGGGGAATCACACCTTGAGTGTTCTGAATAATGACATTCTCTTTTAAGTTTTTTAAAAAATAAACAAAGCAAGGTTAATTTTACAGCTACTGAAAAGGATTTTTATCTACAAGCCATCCCTCTTACCTCCTTGAGGAATGGTTCTTTAAAAAAGGACCCCCTGGCTAGATCTTAACTGCCGGGTAGGTTCATATGGAAGTCTGTATATGTGTATGTATTGAAAAAAATTCATGTATCACCAAAATTGTGCTGATCAGAACCATACAATTCAAGGGAGAAGTGAATCTGTAATATGTTCTACCAACTGTCTGCTACTTTAATTCCAAAACAAAAATGTAAGGGGGAGGATTCAGCCAATGTTTGGAGGACATGACTATAAATTGTTATTAATTATTGATTCTAAAAGAAACTGGTCCCTTCATAATTTCCTGCAGTGCATTCATGAGTCTACAGAGGTGTCAGACTACTAGAGAAAGGATTCCAGACTAGACAGACCTTTGGAATAACCAAGCAAGATAAATCTTCCTCTTCTTTTTTTTTTTTCCTTTTTTAAAAAGGAGTTAATAAATCCAAGGGGACGTGATGCTATTGCCACAATCTGCAAAATGTTTATTATTATCCAAATCATTACCTTGTTCCCCTTTTGTCTTTCATTCTAATAGACTTAGACTTGTAAGTATATTAATTTATACTGGATCGACTAATTTTAAACACTCTGTGTTCTAAATCTGAATAATCCAGGCACAAGATATATGGGAGAAGCTACATAGAAAATGCTTCTGTTCTCCTTAACTAAAAAAAGGTTCAGTCATTAATTAATAAAACTATTCATCCATCACCCCAAAAGACAGAGAAAGACAGAACTGTTTTCATATGTACAGCTTTAAACCCCTGCTTAAATTCATGAAACAGAAGTTACAAATAGAAGTGTACATTCTGTCTTTAATGGAAAAGCATCCATTTATTTCCTCTCTTGGCCCAGTCATGGGTTCTTCTTTGCATGTGACTTGTACATGAGCAAGTTATTTTCACAAGTAACTTTGCAAGTACACACATGGGTACCCTGGACATAGTATATAAACACAGCAGAGAAAATACAAAGTAATACAGAGGGTTTATAAAAGAGAGAAGCAAAATTCAAAGTTTAAATAAATCAACCACAGTGCTTATTTTTATGCACATATACACATATACTTACACAGATAATAGTTGCCCTTTCTCCTACCCTCAACCTTAGAGGCTGCTGTGGAACTCTTACTGTAATGAATTTTGTGTTTAACATAAATACACTTTTTTTGGTGTGATTCCATGGGAAGTGCTTCTTTATGAAGCATAACTATTTTTTTTTTAGAACAGCGCTAAATACGTACATAAACCACAAAGGCACATTGTTGAAAGAACCAAAGGTTCTCTCCACATTGCATTAGAAAGTGTTTCTGGAAAAACTGGTTTTATGGAATGAGGGTCTTCATAGAAACAAATCTGCTCTGGCAATTTCTGACTTTATTTTCATGCATCAATACACACACACATACATATATACAAAATATCACAACACTCACTATCGCATTAGCGATCCGAAAAAACGGATCGCTATGTGATTTCGTCGTTATACGGTGCGCTCGTTAAGCGAGGCACCACTGTACTTACACAGACAATAGTTGCCCTTTCTCCTACCCTCAACCCTAGAGGCTGCTGTGGAACTCTTACTGTAATGAATTTTGTGTTTAACATAAATACACTTTTTTTGGTGTGATTCCATGGGAAGTGCTTCTTTATGAAGCATAACTATTCCTCTCCACATTGCATTAGAAAGTGTTTCTGGAAAAACTGGTTTTATGGAATGAGGGTCTTCATAGAAACAAATATGCTCTGGCAATTTCTGACTTTATTTTCATGCATCAATACACACACACACACACACACACACACACATACAAAATATCACAACACTCACTTGTTTAAAGGATAAGCTTTGCCTCAGAGATATTCCAAAGCTAATCAGATCTTTACATGTTATACTCTACCTGTTTTCAGTCCATGCGGGCATAAGTGGGAATGTGGGGATGGTGCAGTAGACCCATCCCAAATATTGCAAAAAGAAACAAAGATATTAATATAGTCTTCTCTGGTTCCATACTGTTCTCTCTTCTTTATGGAAACACCTGTTTCTGGCTAACAGTAGGTACAAAAGGACCATCCTAAGAAGAATAAAACTTAGATTTCCTTACCAATGGATGCTTCAGTGCTATGACATTCTTTCCCTTCCACTTCGTGTCAAACATTTCAGCAAAATACGTACTTCGGGCACTGAGTATGCAACGATGGGCACAGAAAGATTTCCCGTGGACAATAAAGACAATATCACTCTGGTAACCCTGTTCTAACAGCCTGCAAAGAAAGTTTGGTGAGGAGAATTCAGACAACTGTTAAAATAATAAAAGAGACAGGATTGGAGGGGTCCACAATTCTGTTAAGGATTCAATACATTTTGTTTCAAAGGAATAAAACCAAGGCTCTAAAATAATATTACTAACATTAGATTTGCACAGAGAGAGATACAACCTTACTTGCCTTTTCCATTAATACAGCAGACGGTAGCAGTCTGTTACTCCCTTGGGGCTGGGGGGGGGGCTCCACAGGCACCAATGTGCTCATGGACCCTACTCTTGGCCCCCACCAGGCTCTTTTCCCTTCTGGTTTTTTTT